TCACCAAATTTTGAGTGTTAAGTACTTTTAAGTACTAGGGTTCTCCACCAAGTTTGAGTGTTAAGTACTTTTAAGTACTAGGGTCCTCCACCAAATTTTGAGTGTTAAGTACTTTTAAGTACTAGGGTCCTCCACCAAGTTTTGAGTGTTAAGTACTTTTAAGTACTAGGGTCCTCCACCAAGTTTTGAGTGTTTAAGTACTTTTTAGTACTAGGGTCCTCCACCAAAATATTTTCCTATGATCAACCTCCTATCAACCTAGATAGAGTCTATATCATACTTAGTTACTCATAACTAATTCAATACATAAAGCTTATGTATCACAATCCATGCAAAACCATGCATTTATATAGATTTATAATTAATTAATACCAACCGGTATTAATTAAATCCTTTGTCCTTCGGTCAACGTTTTCGTTGACCGCCATTTCATGCCTTGTGTGTATCAACTTAATCATCATATAATTAAGTTAATAATATTCATTTGTGCTTCTAATACACTTCAAACAAATATGCATTTCATATAATTCTTCATATCATATTCCATGCATCAACAATTAATTTCTTTCATACAAGCTTAACCCTATTGGCTAATCACATGTTTAAATATCTTTTAAACATCATTATGAACTCATATAACATTTATTTAGGTAATCTCATAATTAACCCAAAAGTTATAAGATATTAAGCCGTCCACTCACCTTGAACTAGCGTTATGAAGTTCTACCCTTCTTGGTTGAACTCCGGTGAAACTCCGGCGACTTTTGGTCAACTCCGGCGACAACTCCGGCGACTTTTCCAACTTTGTGAAATCACTTGAAATACCCTTTACAAGTGCCTAACAAGGTTTTATAATCATAAAACCCATATTAATACAAATAACCTCTAAAAGGCTATTTTCCGGTGAACCGGTCGTTTTGGCTTCTAAGTCCGTTCTTGGACGTAGAACCACCTTTCAACCCATAAATCGATACTTATAACATGTGGAACCATACTAAAGGTCATTTACATGATATATACCTCATATGGTAGAAGAAAAACAAGGAGAAGTTATAGTAAGGTCATTACCTTAATTATTCACACTTTTTCCTAACTTTTTCCTTCTCAAACCTCCTTCTTTGGACCAAATCCTCTTGAGCTCGTGCTGCAACAATGGAGGTGGTTTTGAGAGCTTTTACTATTCTTTTCTTGATGTCTTGGTCGAGCTTGATGATAGGGGTGAGAGAGGGTACACCATTTTGTCTCAAATGACAAATAAGAGAGGGTGAGGGGTCCTTCTTGGTACTATAGATGCCAAATAATCCTCCTCCACATATCCTTTTGTCATTCCAGCCCCCATGGGTCTTGTTGAGCACATAAAAACGTGGGGTGGCCCCCACTCATGTGGGAGGTCATCCCTTTGTGTCCCGGTGTGTACAATCGGTTCCGAAAGTTGTATTTTTCGGACTGTTTTAATCATATTTTATTTTATCGGGTAAAATAAAATATATTATGCATTCTCACTCATAACGCCCCTTTGAAATAATATATATTCCAAAATTTTAATTTGGAAGTCTCCGAAATTCATTTCTGGGCTGCTATCTGTTAAATTGTCGGTACCGGTAATTGGGCTTCTTTTGACCAATCGGTCAACCCCAGGCCTTCCCATGGCCTAAATAAGATATCCATACAATAAAAATATCATCCCTACCCATAAGAATAATTTATTTGATCTCAGGAATATCGGGCGGCCCCCGCTCCCGGTGTGGGTCCCACATGCAATTTACTATTCACGCGAAAGAAATAATAAAAATTCACAACTTCGTAAATTAATTAATCCTTTAATAAGGTTCAATACATTATTTACATAAAAGTAAATATATTTGGGGACGGTGTTACACATTATTAACTTGCAAAAGAATTAATGAATTAATTAATTCAATTTTAAAGTAAATTCATAATTAAAGCACATAAGCAATTAAAGTTGTTCCAGCAAAAAAAAAGCAATTGAAGCAGTTATAAAACATTTCAAATTAAAGTTGTTAAAAGAGATTGCAACTAGCCCTGCCTGGCCTTTGGAGTTCGGAGTTTGTATTATCGGAGAAATAAGCTAGGGCAGTCGCCGCCGGCGTGGTGACCCTGTGAGACTGAGACTGAGAGTCCGGACGCGAGGGCGGAGACTGAGGAAGACTGGACGAAGTCCGGAATTCTGGACGAAGGCTGATACACGTGTAATTGCCGCATTTATGTTTGCATTTTTAGTTACTTTTTGTAGTTTAGCATTTCGGAAATTACACACTTTTGGTGTAATAGTTTAGTTTGTTAAATTCTTGTAAAATGTTTAGATTAGGTTTATTCTGAGCTCAAACAGGTCTACCATCACTCAAAGGATAGTTGGTGAACCCCAAAAGTGGAAAGAAGGTGCAAAATCACAAGACAAAAAAGGAAGATCCTGATTTTGGTCTATACTCGGTCGAGTATATACATATACTCGATCGAGTATCTTGTTGAAACTTCAAATCGGATCTGATCCGAAAACAAAGGAACATGCAGGGAAGATTTTACCACGATCGAGTGTCTATACCCGATCGGGTACACCGACATACTCGATCGGGTATAGCTATAAATTATACCCGAATATCGATCGAGTATGGATCGAATTCGAAGTTCTACACATACTCGATCGAGTATATGTATATACTCGATCGAGTACCCGACCTGCACCTCAAAAAAGCCTATAAATACACCTCCTTTCCTTCACTTTTAGATACCAATTCCTTTATACTCTTAAGCTCAGTTTAGAATAGAATTTCTCTATATTTCTTTTAGCATGTTTAGTCTCCAAATGAGGAGCTAAACTTCCATTTCTTGGTTTTGCTCTTGAAGCTTGATTGATTATTAAAGTTGTGAGTTATTTTCTTACTTTCTCCTCTTGATTATTAATTCTTCCCTTAATCTCATTCTATATTAATGTTGGAGGGTGGCTAAGTGACGATTAGTTAACGTTCCAACATTGATTATTACTAGAAACGTTCAACGAACCGATGGTTAAACGTTGATGGTTTCATAAGTAAGTAACTTCGGTTTATTAATGCACGGTTGTGGTTAATAAATTTAAGAGGGATTAATTTTGTTGGTTAAACCGAAACCGTTGTGTTGAGGTTATCAATCTTAATTGATTTCATCAAGGAGTTAAAGAGGTTAAAAGCTACTGTTATATCGGTATACGGCGTTGTTCTATATTTGATAAATAGTAAGGGTTATTAATGAACGGTCGTTGTTAATAACTACCCTCGATGAATTGGATATACTCCTCGATTGAGTATTCGAGAAGGGATAAGTTATAGATATAACAATGATCGACTAAAATATATCAACAAGTGGAAAGTAGCAAGACCAAGTCCCTTTTATTCTTGAATTTAATCTCATATAACTCGTTCATCTTCGTGTCTAATTTAATTAAATCACTCAACAATCAAAACCCCCCTTTATTTACTATTTACATAAAAAGAAAGTTATTCCTTTCCCTGTGGATACGAACTCTACTTCACCTATACTACGTATAAGTGTTAGTATCGATTTATTTTGAGTGCACGCACGACAAAGTGCACGTCAAATTTGGCGCCGTTGCCGGGGAAAGGCAATTAATTTTTCTTTTTATTTTATTTTAAGAAAAAAAAAAAATACGGTTCAAGTATAAAGATTTCTATTTCTTCTGAGCTTTGTAGTACATGGTAAAATATCGTTCACTGAACGAAATCACATACCACTCAAACCCCGAAATAGAACAAACTCTCGAGCGGTTGAAAAACAAGTTCTCAAACTCCGACTCGGGAGAATCATCAAGTGCTAGTTCTCAATCTAGTGAGACCGAAGAGCCAATCACTATGGCTCATGAAACAAGAAAAACCTAGATCTCTCTGGTTCGCTGGCTCACTGCAGTTCTCAACGAAGAAGATAGAAAGATATGGGAGGGGGCGCCGGTCGAAATACCTAATTCTACTACTAAGAAAAACTCCGGTGAAGGGGTGGCGCCGGCACCGACTCTCACCCCCTGATTCCGCCCCTGCCCTTCAGCTACTAAGAAATTGATGACACGGCATCCTCTAGAAGCAACGAACAACATCTCTGGCGATGAAATGGTTGGCGACCTGTTGGGCATCCTGGCTCCGATAAATTATTTGAACAAAAAATATATATCATATTCATATGAAATAATTATATATTTATGACTAAAATAAAGAATGTGTACAAAATTGTGATTAATGACTAAAATAATATAGCATCATAGTAATTTGTGTTCAATTTTTAAATTTAAGTTATCATGACATTATATTATAACAACCGTCAATCATATTACTTTCAATAAATTTTATTTTAGTAATATTTTTGAAATAAAGTGGTTTCATATTCTACTACGTACTACCTCCGTCCCATTTATATTGGGACGGAAGAGAGTGACACGATTATTAAAAAAAATGAGTTTGTGTGGTTGATATTAATTGATAAAGTAAGAATAAAGTAAGAATGATTTAAGCCACGATTAGAGCCACACAAACTTTGCCAAATATGGTATGAGACAATTTAAGTGGGACTTCCCGAAGAGGTAAAACGGGAGAATATAAATGAATAACTAAATTTAAGAGGGAGTATCTATTATTCGAATTTGAATACTCCTCATCGTATTTGTTTACTACCCTATTTAAGCAGTGTTTGCGGTTGCTTCAAAAAAGCGCTTTTTAGCTTCTGACTTAAAAAAAACTAATAAGAGTGTTTTCAAATGACAGCTTCTGCTTAAATTAATCACTTAAAAGCTAAAAGCTGGAAGCAGGTGGAAAAGTGCTTTAAACTGCTTTTCACTTTTTCTATTACACAAAAAGTACTTATTTTACCAAACATTACCAACTTTTACTTTTTCAGAATTACTTTTTTCTCAAACACTACCAACTTTTACTATTAATCACTTTTTCCAAAATCATTTTTAAAAAATCACTTTTTTAAAGTTGAAGCAATTGCAAACACTCTCTTAAAAAACAAAATTTCTCCTGACTGTTGAAATTCATGGGAATCGATGAATAACGAAGTGCGCACCCCAACAAAAATGAGTGTTATGGCCTGAGAATCCACCCATTCTCCACCGGAGTGTATGAATCTTCGGCTTCATTTCCAACTCTATCTGTACCAGTCCGTCCATGCCAAAGTAACAAACCAGAAAATAGTGTAGAAATGGCTAGAGAAACCCTAGCTTCATCATCTTCCTCCCAGACTGGTAGCGGGGACTCCTCTATAATTCCGCCACCTCCAGAAGATGCTTGGATAGATACCTACCGAAAATTGGGCCATCGCTGGCAATCTGTTACTCCACCTCATCAGGTTTTACCAGGCATCTGTTTCTTTCATTAGTGCTTTACTTCTCTAGTTTTTAGCTGGATTTAAGTGATTAATTTTAACAGAAAAAAAGTGCTAACACTATATATGGGGATATTAAGTATTTGTTCTGTCTTTACATATTAAGAGTATTATTTTATTGGTTAGGGCTCCATTTGGACTTTGGAATAATGAAAACACTATGAAAGGAAAGTATAGAAGAATATAGAGGACAAATTTGGAAGAAAGAAAATGTTGAGGAAATTAAAATTTTGCTTTAAGTCAGTAAATTTATTTTTAACTGTTGATTGCAGCCATTTTTTCTATTTTATAAATAGTACGAAGCAATCCAAAGACATGTAGCAATTTCAAAAGTACTAATCATTTTCTAAACATAACAAAATAACCTTTCTTAAAATTTTCTTTCCTCATTCATTCAAAAAAAAAAATCTTTCCTTTCCTGCATTGCTGGGATCAAGCATATCCTATATGCAACAAGGATGCAGGCAGAGAGGTTCCTAGACTTTTCAATTAATATGGATGGCATATGTGGGAACACTATATATGTTCCTGCCCTGATGCACTCCTACTGGCAATTGATTTCAACGTGGGAAGTGCATATAGTGTTCTTTCAGAAGAAATTGTGCTTTTTCTCTCAAATCAGAGTACATTTTCCAATTGCCATACCAAAATTACAATTTCCAATTCAGAGTACATTTCAGGAATCGACCCCACTTAACCTTTCTATCGGCCTCCACCCAGGCTTCGTTTAAAGCGCCCATATCTCTTTAGAACAATGAAATTACCCAATTCCATAATGCAGTGTAGTAGCTTAACATTTTCTTAATAAATGGGTGACCTACAGAGTACATTACTACTCCCTAGATGGTGATGAGAACAGAAAAAGAAAATCAACGGAATAATCCGTTGCCCAGATAATCAACGGTAGAAATCGTTGCCCAGAGCCAAATAACCCTCTAAGTCTAACAAGAATAGGAATCCTACTTAAACCATAATAGGAAACTAAATAGAATAGGAAACCTCTAATTTTCCAATAGAAGTCCTAATTAAATCATAGTAGGTAACAAAATAAAATAGGAAACATAATAAAAGGAAATAACTAAAGGAATTAATTAAAATAACTAAGCCAGCCCATGGAAGGTGGGCTCAAGCCCATCCCCGCCCCATGCTCTTCCTGCTTTCTATCAGATGGCTAGATCGTTTGTAATTCCTGAAGATTCTAAACTTTCTGTTAATATTTCTATTTATGTAGTTTTGTCATAGGATTGGGAAACGTTTATATATGAAATATTCTAAAAGCCTCCTTACTACAAAACATGGTTATGTAGCAAGGAGGTTGCTAGAAGCCTAGAACATTTCTGTTTGTTATCATGGCATGACTTTAGTGGTAGTTGGGAGTCTTTTTTCAGTTTTTTTTGTACTGTTTTCTAGTCATAGTCATGACTTCTGTGTTCGCATTGGCAGTCAGCTATTCCAATTGCCATTTCTCGAGTAAATCAAATTGATGCAGGCAGACTGGACTTTGAAATGTCAGCCATGTTAAAGGAGCAGTTGGTGAAGGTTTTTTCTTTAATGAAGGTACAGTGTCCTTATGGTTTCTGTTTCTTATTTATTTGGATGAACTATTTCTATGAAGTTACTAAGCAGGAGTTTGTGAAAGCTTTAGTCAACCAGTCAGCATTTAATCACCGTTTGTCATTCCTTTGGAATTAGCCAGGAATGTTGTTTCAATACGAGCCAGAACTTGATGCGTTCCTCGAGTTTCTCATTTGGCGTTTCTCTATCTGGGCTGATAAGCCTACTCCAGGAAATGCTCTAATGAATTTGCGGTATAGAGATGAACGTGCTTTTGAGATGCAAGGAAAAGGTGAGAATGGCCGTAGAAATCCTTTAGATTGTAAATGGCCGTTTGTTAGCCATTTTTATCAGCCTTATAAGTCAATTGTTTACCAAAAAGAAAATGGGAAAAGGTACAAATACACCCTTGTAGTATGGGTGTGGGAACAAATATACCCATGTTCTATTGCTTTTCAGAACAAATATACCCTTGAAGTATATGTTGAAGTGCATATAAACCCCTGAACTTTTAAAAGGTGCAAAAATACCCCTCATATTCTTATAAAAGAGAAAATATACCCTTATTGACTTTAAATTGATAAAATAAATTTCAAAAACACCAAAAATAGATTATAAATTCGAAATGAAAAAATAAAATCTTTTAAAAATGTACTTGTGCCCAATTCTCCCTTTTATTGTTTGTATATCACAATTTAATATTGTTAGTATAAAATATTATTTCAAAACTTTACTATATATTCGGGATTCTTTTGAAAAAGTGTTAACATATGTGTTGCAATGTAAAAAAAAAATTGTTTGCATTCTTTGCACTATATTATCACATATTTTTGTATGATGATAAATAGTCCGAGATTACAATATAGTGAATTTAATTTTATTAAGTTTAAACAAATTCAAAGCATGTTATTTTAAAAAAATTAACAATGTGTTCACAATTTCGCAACAAGACTAAAATTAAAATTAATGAATTTGAATTGCTTCATGTACAAACAAAAAAGTAATAATTTTGCAAGTTAAAATTACAGAGTTAATATTTTAACATAATAATAAATCTTTATTTTTAAATTTCGAATTTATAATTTATTTTTGGTGTTTTTGAAATTTATTTTATCTATTTAATGTCAATAAGGGTAAATTTTCTTCTTTATAAGAACATGAGGGGTATTTTTGCACTTTTTAAAAGTTCAGGGGTATATGTGCACTTCAGCATATACTTCAGGGGTATCTTTATTCCGGAATATAGAATAGAGGTATATTTGTTCTCACACTCATACTACAGGGGTATATTTGTACCTTTTCCAAAAAGGTAATACAGATGTATCTGACTAAGAGCATCTCCAATGCTATAATGTTCACTGTGCACATGTGGCATGAGTGATAGCCACATAATTATTAGCAAATAAATTATTTCTCTCCTTATTTGAATGATTTTATACAATTTTGGTAAGTTTTTCCCTGCAATGTCAACAACAATGTCAACATTAGACGGTCTCCTTGACATTGTGGAGAAAAACTTACCAAAACTGTATAAAATCATTCAAATAAGGAGAGAAATAATTTATTTACTAATATTTATGTGGTCATCTCTCATGCCACGTGTGCACCGTGCACATTGTACCATTGAAGATGCTCTAAGTGTCCAAAGTGAGTTAAAAATGAATACAAGTTGTTCTGGACTCTGGAGGCACTTTTTTGGCAGACGTTTTTGAAGAAGATTACTTTACTCTTCTTTCGTAATTTTTGTGTGTCATAATTTAGCAACTTCATCATTATAGCCACACATTCAGTTACTTTAGTAATTTCAGACAAAATTACCCTTCCAAAACGGGTTCTCAGTAATATTGACCATCTTCCGTTGAGCATTATTTTCTGGCAGTGTCTTTTTTACCTCATGTGGTGTATGTCCTGATTCCCGAGTTGCATAGAGCTTTCCACTTGCATAACTTATCATAAACTATGAAACAAATTTACTGAAACTCTGTAATCATTCATTAGTCCTAATTCTAACTAAACATTGGCCTGCTCTTTATTCTAAAGGTTATACATTCAGGATACTAATTTACATGTCATCCTCGGTTTCATCATATAGTCCGAACAGGATTAGAAGGACCCGGGCTTACTGTTGCACAGAAGATCTGGTATTGCATTGCAACTGTTGGCGGTCAATATTTCTGGGCCAGATTACAATCATTTTCTGCTTTTCGTAGATGGGGTGACTCTGAGCAGGTATATTCCTTTATCGTTAAGTGTTTTCTATCTAAGAAAATGGATTGTATGCTCTTCAAAGTACAGATTTTACTTTCTCCCGTTCACAGTAATTGTATTTTAAAGGAAAGATTTGTTTCCAGAATCTTAGTCTCTGGGAGTTTAAGATAAAAGATTTCTCTTTTTCCCTAATATACCCATAGTTTGCATTTATTATCAGTTCCTTTCTCACTAAACACACTTATATATGGTGTTTAGATATTTCACACACACTCTTAATGCGTGTGCTTTCCTTTAAACACACTCATTGTGAACATGGGAGTACTTTGTTTGCTTAAAAACATGTATTATATGTGATTTCAAAATGAGATATAAAGTTAATGGATTAAAACCATTTGGTATAAGTGTTTGACTCAACTTCTGTAGCCTCAGATCAAGAATATCCACATAAGTGATTTTAGATCAGTAATGGTTTCTGGAATGTTTTGTATTGGTTTTCAATTTACTGATGTGTATATAACCAAACTTTGATCAGTCTCTATGTTCACTGGATGGAGTGATCTAATTGATGGACAATTGGTCATGGTCAAATTTAGATCATGCTATTAGCATGTGTATTACGGAACAGATGGAATACTGATTTACGCTATGCTCACTACATTTCCCATTTCCCCACTATTGAAGAGATCTGTAGCACGCTGGATGTGGTTGTTAATACAACGTGTAGAAGGAATTTATAAGGCAGCATCTTTCAGCAACCTCCTCCTATTCCTTTGCACTGGAAGGTAAGCTACGGAAATGCAATGGTTTGACCTTTTACTTCTTTTCACTCTGTCATCTTGCCTTAAAACGCACAGGTTTGGCAAATATATACCTATATAGGAGTAATTTTCAGTTCAGAACTTCAGATCAGGTAGTTGGTGTAGCAATTGGGCGCTTGGTGTGCCACTTAACTATTTAAGTCACATGTACATGTTTGAAAAATATTACTCCCTCCGTCCCATTTTACATGTCTTACTTTCCTTTTTGGGTTGTCCCGAAATAAGTATACATTTCCCTTTTTGGAAAGAAAATATGTGGTCCACAACATTTCACTTTATTATACTCAAATTTCAACCACAACTTTTACCTTTTCATCCACTTTATTAATAATTGTGCCAAAGTCAAATGAGACACATAAAATGGGATGGAGGTAGTAAAAGATTTATTTCTTTGAAAATATTGTTCATATTTGCATCATTTCCGATGGAGCCAAAGACTCACTGTGTTTTGTCTTGGGAATATGATGAAATAAAGCTGATAGGAACCAGACAATTCGTGTATATTAAGTAAGGAATTCAGAAATCTCAGAATTCCTGAAGCAATTGCAATGGTATAAACCATAGCTAGTGTACAAGAAAGAGAAGAATCAGAAACAGAAATAAAGTGAGACACTTCAAGTAGTCTCGCACTCCCAAATCCTAGTCCCAATTTCTCCTAACCACCTCCTTTCCTCACTCCCATTTTTATACTAATTCTATTTTTAAGGGCCAGCCTAAACCCATGATATACATGGCTCGGAACCCTTATTTTTACTCTACCACAATTATTTAATATCACTCTATTACTACTATCATTATTTTCTTCAGCCTAGGATCCTATCAGAAGCAAAATGACTCACTAAATGGTTTGTGCTTCTTTTTTATGAAGCAGCAGTCAGTCCATGCAATTGACGTGATTTTCATCTTGGGTCATCCGGAAACAATCTATCTGTGTTTTAGTATAGAAGTAGGGCTGCGTACATCCAACCCCCCTTACCCCACCATAGGTGGGAGCCTTTGCGGCACACTGGGGTAATGTTGTTGTTTGAAAATATTATTAATCTATATTTATTATTTCTTGGAAAACACACATCATGTTTTAAATGTTTTGTGCTTGATCTAAATTGAATCAAACATAAAACATAGAATGTGATTTCTCATTAAGAAAATGTAAATGGAACTGTTTATGAAATGAGTATAAAATCTTTATATTTTTTAAGATCTACATGTAGCTTACAATGTGATTTCTCATAAAGAAAATGTAAATGAAACTGTTTATAAAATGAGTATAATTTTTTTGTATCTTTTATGATCTACATGTAGCTTACATAATTAAGTGGCACGCTGAGTGTTACACCCTGAAGCCGCACAAGCCACACGTGATATTGACTTGTTTTTTGTGATTCAGTGCCACAATAGCCCTCTTTTTATGGAGGAGTTCTGTTGTAATCTGTTGTGTACAATGCCTTATATTTAGCTAGATTAGAAGCATGGCTGTAAGTCTGTAACATAAACACAGCTTGCTAATTTTATAGATTTTCACCTGCATTATAAATATCAACTTTATGCAGGTATAGGAGTCTTATTGAGAGAGCTTTAAGAGCAAGACTTGTTTATGGAAGCCCCAAAATGAATCGTGCTGTAAGCTTTGAGTACATGAACCAGCAGTTGGTTTGGCATGAATTGTCGGTAATTTTCCTTCCATCTGGCTTTAGAAACAGGACTTAAAACCCATTTTGTAAGACTCAAAACTGCTGAATCTGCAAAGCCCCAAAAAGAATCGTGCTGTAAGCTTTGAGTACATGAACCAGCAGTTGGTTTGGCATGAATTGTTGGTAGTTTCTCTTCCATCTAGCTTCATAAACTGGACTTTAAGACCCATTTTGTAAGACTCAAAACTGCTGAATCTGCTGAAGTTGCTGATTTGGCTTTCTCTTGAATTATCTAAAACAAGCATTTAAAAGAACAAGTTTAAATAAGTTTTAAAAAATATATACAAATAAAGCTAAAATTATCGATTTCAGCCAAGTTACTCTTGCACTACTTATTCTTCATTAGCAGATTCAGCCAGCTCGCAAGTGACCCTAGTTAATGTATGGTGAAAAATATGGCTTTAATAAGGTTGATTAAGCTAAAACCGAAGCCTAACAATGGACTTTTAACTTTAAAATGTTGTTTCTTACATTGCATCATTGTTTTTTAATCATTTTTCTTCTGTGGTTTCATCTATTCTGAAGTGTGTTTTTTATAACAGGAAATGCTGCTGTTGCTTCTTCCCCTTCTAAACTCATCATCCATAAAAAATATCCTTCATCCATTCTCAAAGGGCAAATCTTCAAATTCTGCAACTGATGAAGCCTTGTGCCCCATATGCCTCGCGACTCCCACACTTCCTTTTTTTGCCATACCATGTCAGCATAGGTATGCATACAACTATACTATTTTCATGCTCTTTATGGTTATGTCTCAATCCTAGTTTGGGTTTGCGACTTTGCGCTTGTGGTGGTAAAAGCTCTTTTTTCAACACACAATCTCAAACATTATATATATTTCTATTCAAGTGCTGATTCAAAATTTCATAAGCCAGCATAACATAAAAGCCGGGTCCAGTGTAACACTTTTCAAAAAATGCATTTGAGTTTCAATTATAATTTTTAGATACTTTTATTTTGCACTGCACTTTCTAACCTCATTCAGAAAGGGAAAATAATACAAGAACAAACAAACTTGCAAACAAATGATATGGCTCTATCACCATTGATGTGTTAAAGTGTTAAACAGTGTGATACTCCATGTGCCTTTTTTATAACTCTTTGAAAGTTTTTTTTTTGTACTGTTAGCATAACTCGTCTTTATCTGTGAAAAAAAAACTCTCTCACTGCAAGGAACTTTTCAAAATTGCGTTTCCAGTAAGGAACTTGTCCCACGGCCAGCCCAATTCCAAACTAGGGTATATGTAACTACGTTGTTTGGTTTCAGATGATTTGCAGTCTTTTACTTTCTCTTCCTCCCTGCAGCAGGAGTCCAGCTCTTCCGCAGGAGGAAGGCTGTTGCCATCTTTTTGCTCCTGATCTTTTGTCCGTTTTCCTTCTTTCTTTTCCCATGTTCATTGTTTTGTTTCTCTCTCAATCTTTCTTCTTCAACTGACTTTCTTTCTTCTTGTCAAAACAAATTGAACTTCAAAAAACATTTTTGTTTTAAAATTGACTGAAATTAATATGAAGCCATACATTATCATCGAATAATCTATCAATATTAATCATTTTATTTGGACCCAATTAAAACAAAAGTCTGAGGTTTTTAGATCCAGCCTTTTTTACGGTTTTACCAATACCAAAGGTCCATGGAAACCCAGATTTAGAATTCCGGATAGAGATAGTAATTGCAGCTATTAAGAACTTTGATGGTTTTATGCTTTACCTCACAACTGGAAAGATATGGGAAAGAAGGCTACTGCCTACTGCCATCTTTTTGCTCCTGTTCTTTTGTCTGTTTTCCTTCTTCCTTTTCCCCTGTCCATTTTTTGTTTCTTCTCTCAATCTTTCTTCTTCAACTGAATTTGTTTCTTCTTGTCCAAATAAATTCAATCATCATTTACCCCAGTGCCGCAAAGGCTCCCACCTACGGTGGGGTAAGGGAGGGTCGGATGTACGCAGTCTCACCCCTGTACTAAAGCACAGAGAGACTGTTTCCAGATGACCCATAATGAAAATCGCGTCCAAAATTGCATGGGCTAATTGCTGCTTCATAACAAAGAAGAGCAGACAGTTTGGTGAGTCATTTTGCTTTATTCCATCTTATTCTCAAGCCAAAAAATAATGAATCTTTGGCTCCATATTGCAAGTGATGAAAAATCTTGTCCAAATATATTAAACTTCAAAAAATATTTTTGTTCTAAAATTGACTGAAATTAACTCAAAACCATTCCTTCTCATCGAATAATCTATCAATACTAATCATTTTATTTGGACAATTGGACCCAATGAAAACAAAACTCTGAGATTTTTAGATCCATCCCTTTGACCAATTCTAAAGCTCCGTTGAAAACCCAGATTAGGAATTCCGGATAGAGATAGTAATTAAAGCTATTAAGAACTTTGATGGTTTTATGGTTTACCTCACGAGTCACAACTAAAAAGATATGGGGAAGAAGGCTGGTTGCTGTGTGGGGATCTGATTTGAGACGGCTGAAGGAGGCGAAGCGGCCATTTTCTGGCATTGATGTCCATGTGGTGAAGAGAAAGCAAACAATCTGACCCGATTCATGCGAGGAAGAAAGCGGAGGGGGAAAGAGAAGGAAAGGCAAAGAAAAAGAAATAGAAAAACAAAATAGTTGCCGCGGTGCAGATAACCAGAAATGCGTCTGTTAACTTGTAAAGTTGCTCAATTGAGCGTTTTTTTAAAAGTTTGAGGGTTTAATTAAGTGTTTTCAAAGCACAGGGGTTGACTTTTTTGAAATAATATGAGGTCTATTTGACTGTTTTCCCAACTCAGAAAGAAAAGTGAAAAACGTTAACAAAAGTTAGATTTTGTTGTCTTTTACATAGATTTAGATTTAAGATTTTTTTAGTCTTTATAACATTAATAAATCAGTATGAACTATCAAAATAAATTTAGCATGTTTGAACCAAAATTTTATTTTCCCGCACAATTTCTCGGAGTCTTTTCCTCCCTATTTTCTCAACCTAGCATTTTCTGAGGTAGTGAGTTCCGAACATACTCTAATAGGGAGTATATTGGGATCACAAAAAGCGTCCGGAATTAGAAAAAATGCTAAGAATAAGTGTGTTCTTATGATAAGTTTTAGTCTAGAAAAGGCAACAAAAACAAAATATGATTGTTTGAAATTGTGTTTACATATATTTGGATTTCTTAGTCCATATATTAAGAATAAATAAAGAAATAAATAAAATGAGTAAGAAATTATCTAAAGTAAATTCATTGAGTTCGGATGACCTATTGAGTTTGTAGGGTATCTTTTAGTTTCTTTCCAACTATTTTGGATGGTCCAGGCAGTGGATAAGAGCAGTGGTGAATTGTATGACTTGCAGGTTTTGTTATTACTGTCTTCAAACGCGGTGCTCTGCAGCTCAGTCATACCGGTGCCCAAGGTGTGGTGAGCTGGTTGTAGCAATGCAGCGACATGGTGGTGGTGGTGGTGCACCTCCTCCTGCTACATAAGTTTCATGTAAAAGATAACAACAATGATTTATTTAGATGATGGGAAAAATCCTTTCCATTGTGCGAAATCATTTGTTTTTTTCACCAAAGTGACTTCTCTATACTGTCATTTGGGCTGAAGGAACGTGATTCTCTTTGGTGATAGCAAGCAGGCAGGCTTTTCTTACTAACCTTGTGCAGTAGCAGCAGCTGTGATTGGGGATTTTAACGTGCAGTCTTGATGGCACATACATAGACCCATAGTGTATGGATAGATATGTCTTTTCAATGTGCGCATTTTACCGGCGGTTCCAAATTTGGAAGTTTATGGGATATTCTTATTACCTGTTTCGTGTACGTCAGAATTGAATCTACAAATGTTGTAGATGAGATATTACAACTGTACCTAAATCAATCTCAATAAAATACCTCCCTTCCGCCCCAATTTGATCTCCCTATAAAATTAGCTCCTCCCTGATTTTCTTCAAATTAGTGTTAGTAATTATATTCGTATATTTTTGTGCAAAAAAAATTATATTCATATATTTAGAGATTGGATTAACAATTCTACTAAATTGTGAAATTAATATTAAAGAGAGGAGTACTTGTAAATTTTCCAAAAAAAAAAATCTACTAAATTGCAAAAAAGAAATCCTCGAGAAAAACATATTAATACTTCAAATTAGAGAATAAAATGGAATTATGCTGGTTAAGGAAAGGAAAGTTAAAAAAAATCATTTTGAGAATACTAAATTTGTAGAAGAGTGAAATAAATTATATTGCCTGCTTTTACAATATGACTTTCACGTTTGTCTAGATGTAATTATGATTGTAATTATATTTCATTACGTTATTAATAAATATCATAAAATTTATATTTTTGGAAATTTATATTAAAATAAATTTAATAAATATATATATATAATACTCTGTATTTTGATTACATATATTAGTAGGTTTGTTTTTGACAAAATAAGGTATTTTAATAGTGCAAAATTTAGAGTGTTGAAATTATTAAAGGATAAAGGAAGTACAATTTTTTCTATTTATATTTACTATTTTGAAGCCATATTCCAATGCACATATTAACATTCATTTTTGTATACTTTTCAATATTATATTAGTTGCTTGAAGGAGTGATTAATTGATATATTAAGAATGTGATAATGCACGCATATGAATTATATAAAAAAAACTAACCTTTAGTTAGGATTGGTAAAATTTAATCCATATTTTATACACTAATGAAAATAGAATAAAAATGTTTGTAAATTTTAAAATAGGACTAATATTATTTTATTCGGGGCGGACACATGTTATACATAATGGGGGCATGTGCCCCTAATAAAATCTGAAATTTTCAATTTTAATGTATAAGTTGTATTTTAATTAGGTTTAAATATGTTTTTATTCCCTACAAATATAGTGCATTTTTGTTTTACATCCCTTCAAAATTATTATTTTTGTTTTCGTCCCTGCAATTTATGTTAGTTTTCTTTTTAGTCCATCACCGATGATAATAACACCCGTTTGATCTCAAACTAATCCGGACTAATAGATTTCCTCTAATTATTTGTCATGTTATTAAAAAATACTTCGTATTTAATTTTATTTTTTCAAAGGCTTTTAATATATATTTTAAAAATGTGAATACTTAGTTTTACATTATTTTAGCTCTCATATTAGCCTCAAAAAAATTATAAAAGGATAAATTTAAATATTTCTAGCATATTTATGCAATTGACAATAAATGTTTTCTAAGTAGAGTGATTTTGGAATTATAGAAGGACTAAAAACAAAGTAGGGCATATTATAGGGATGAAAAACAAAAAAAATTATTTTGCAGGGACCTAAAACAAAGTGTGTCATACTTGCGGGGACTAAAAATATATTTAAGCTTTTTAATTATATAAAACTAGTTACGTGCCCTCAATAAAAGATAAAGATGCCCCCATTAGCTTTTTTATACACATTCAGTTTCTCTAGGTAAGTTAGAAATTTCTTGAGACATAAATGATTAGTATGATAAGAAGCTATTCTGATCTGAATTTTTTAAGTTCTGATCTGATCTGAATTTTTCTGATCTGATCTGATCTGAGTCTTTCTGATCTGGTCTGATCTGATCTGAATCTTTCTGATCTGATCTGAATGTTCCTGATCTGATCTGAATGTTCCTAATCTGATCTCAATGTTCCTGATCTGATCTGATCTGAATGTTGCTGATCTGATCTGAATGTTCCTGATCTGATCTGAATCCTTCTGATCTGATCTGAATCCTTCTGATCTGATCTGAATCCTTCTGATCTGATCTGATTTAAATATTTCTAAAATTATAATTTTAATTTTAATTTTAATTATTATAATTAGAAATGTAATTACACATATATAATTTAAATGTAATTATAATCATAATTATAAAAAAAATTATAATTATAATTATAATTATAATATAATAGGTATAATTATTATTATATGTATTACACTAGTTATAAATATAGCTATAATTAGAGGAAGCGGTCCAGCTCAGCTGGTCGCCGACTCACTCTCCATTATGGGAGGTCTCGGGTTCGAAACTCAATGGGGTGAGTTTCAACCTAGTTTACTTGAGCCCCCCAGACCCCCTCCCCCAGACGCCTCCTGGAGTAAACAAAAAAAGCTATAATTATAATTGTAAGTATATTATTAGTTATAATTATTTCTATAATTATAATTTTAATTATAATTATAATATTTACTTCTATAATTTTAATTGTAATTACTCGGTGTAATATAATAATAACAAAAAAGACTAATAACAATAACAACAACCATAATAGTAATAAGAATAATAATAATCATGATAATAATAAATATCATAATAATAATAGTAATCATAGTAATGATGATGATGATAATAATAATAATAATAATAATAATTACAATAACAACAACAACAACAATAATAATAATAATAATAATAAATTAATTATTATTATTATTATTATTATTATTATTATAATTATTATTATTAATATTATAATAAAAGGGATGAATCATGTCTGAACTTTTCTGATCTGATCTGAATGTTCCTGATCTGATCTGAATGTTCCTGATCTGATCTGAATGTTCCTGATCTGATCTGAATGTTTCTGATCTGATCTGAATGTTTCTGATCTGATCTGAATTATTCTGATGTGATCTGAATGATTCTGATCTGATCTGAATCTTTCTAATCTGATCTGATCTGAATAAAATAAAAATAAGCAATAAGTAATAAGATTAAGACGAACAGAACAGCTTCTAATTTGTATATTTACTCACTTTTTAGGTAATGGTTAATTTATTTAATTTTTATATTTAAAATGTAAGCACTAGACTAGACTCTTTATTACTTCGTATGAGTTAACTTATTTTGATTAGTTTTGTTTTCATTAATTTAATTGAGCTTTAACACCTATAATACTATTTGGAGTGTATTTGAAAATTATAAATCACAAGCATTAATTAGGTAAATACCGTACACCCGGCTATACGGCGCTCACCGTACAACCGGGTATTTGTGAAATTAATTACAACTCCGGTGGTAAAGATTAGGCAATCTGATCTTCCCCATTTGCTGCTTGCTGAAGTATTGAAAATTGATGGAGGCGCTGGCGATTTCTGTTGCTCGCTGGCTGAATTCCTGGAGGTTGGTGGAGGAGGTGCAGTTTGCTCGCTGGCTGAATTCCTGGAGGTTGGTGGAGGAGGTGCAGTTTGCTGGATTCCTGGGAATTGTTGAAAGAGGTGCAGCTCCTGGGAGTTGGATGAAGGAGAATCGTGCATGTTGTGGAGGACCAATTTCAACTTTGTTTTTAATATTATTTTAATATTGTGTGTTAATATTTTTAGCTTATTAAGTATTAACATAAACGATTAAAAAAAAAGTATTAACATAAATTTTAGGTAGTATGTTATATTGAAAATGAGTATAGTGTTTTTAATAAATGGGCATAACGATTAAAAGAATTGAACATATATATGTGAGTATTTGATTACGTTAGAAAATTCAAATGAGCATATACAAATGAAAATTTGAGCATACTATAAGTTTAAATGAGTTTTTTGATTTTTTCGTTGCTCATTTCGTAAGTCATGTATGCTCATTTGATATTGGTACAATGCTCGTTTTAAAATGTCATATTCATTCATATTTCAAAAGTATAATACTACCTCCGTCCCGCTAAGATTGTCTCATTTTACCTTTTCGGTCCGTCCCACTAAGATTGTCTCATACCAAATTTGGTAAAGTTTGTGTGGCTCTAAATCATTCTTACTTTATCACTTCAACATCAACCACATACACCATTTTTTATTAAATTGTGTGTCACTTCCTCTTGTCTCATTGTTAGTGGGACGGAGGGAGTATTAGATTAGATTCACAAATAGGACTCATACGGCCATACGGGTTCATTGTAGGTATTTTAAAAAATAAGAAAAAAAGTGAATTAAAGATATGAAAGAGATATTACGATGTTCATTATTAGACTCTTGATACTCAAAAAAGTAGGTCTCATGCTCATTAAAAATACATTAATGTTGATTTAGCGATGCCACAAACTTAATTAAAATTACTAAAATGTCACTGATTGTGCAGTGCTCGCCGTATAGCCGGCTGGACGGTATAGGCACTCCAAGCATTACTCTTTAACGTGAAAACATTGGCCAAAAAAATAATGGCAATAACTTGTACTCCGTATAAATTAATATATTGTCAACTATTACTCCATATATCATCAGCTACTATTACCTTTTAAAAAAATACCATATTCTTTAAAATTTATTTAAAAAAGAATCAAAATTCAAAACTTCAATTTTCTTTTCAGGCTATTCCATACGTCATATTCAATGAAGAATTTTAAATTTTTAGGAGTTGTTTTGACTGCTGGAACCAAAATTGAGACCAAAATTGTCCCGTTCGATCTCAAAATTTGAAACTTGGGATTGGGTGGCCAATTGGGGTCATACTCCTCTCCATTTCTTTTCTCCATTTCCCCTTTCCATTTCTTTTTCAGTCTATCTCTCTCCTACAAATCACTAACACCATCCCACCTTTCATTTTTCCTACCCCACCCACCTTCTCATCTATCTCACTCTCTCTCCAACTGGAAATTTCCAGTCACTGGAGAGGAGTTCAATTCAGCCAATTGGCCGGGACAGGGACAGTCCTAGGCCTGCAGCTGATAAACAAGCCGGGTCTGGGTCTAAACAGTACAGACCGGGCCAGACTACTAGATTGGATCCACCCTTATGTATAAGGTAATGCCCCCAATAACATTTCTTCCTGTATTCGCTCCTATTTTTATTCTATAAGTAATTATTATAATTATCAGAATTTAAAAATGATTGTAATTTTCAACTTTAATAGTAATTATTCTTATTTAAGGAATAAAAATATACTAGTATTACTCATATTTTTGAATGTGAAAAAGCTCACTTTTGTGTTGAAAAAAAAAGTATGTCACCTCTACAAGTGTAAGTTCTTCTCATTGCTTGGTATAATACATTCAGGGCCTGTTTGGTAATGGCTGCAACAGCTGAAAGTGTTGAAAGTGCTTGAAGGGTTGAAATTTCTGAAGTGAAAGTGTTTAGTAATATTTTGGCTAAATTGGCTAATTGAATGTATAAATAACGAAAAGAGTATTACTTTTTTTGTATTTTATATATATGATGTTAGCAGCATCTAACATTACGTTTTGAAATAATGTAAAATTATACATTACACACAACAGCTACTAATTTTACATTATTAGGACTTAGCTCATACTAATTTTACGTTCTGCATATTTCCAGTTTCAACTTTCAATGGGTTTTGACGTTCCAGCCACATAGCTCATACTTGACCGCTTGCTTTGAAGAGGATATAAGTGTCCTTTAACTCAAAAAATAGAAATTAGCTCAAAAGTAACTCTATTACTACTTTTTTAGTTGATAAGGAATATCAGCCCAAACAACCTAATTGGCTAGTGTTTGACTCTTTTTTTCATTTTAAGGCTTATCAGCCCAATTTTATGGCTCCAAACGGCCACTCGGTTTTTCATTATCTTTCCGTATCAATTGTTTGGATCTTTGTTAAGTCAGTATCAAATTAAACCAAACGACATGTTATCTCACCACTTGTATGATAGAAAATCTTCTCTTTTGCCAAACCCTATGTCACAGCTAAAAAGAGTTGGTATCTATTATTGAGAGTTATACAAAAGTGTACCTTTATTGAGAACAATAAAGCTAAACATTATTGATGAATTATCATATTGCCCACAAATCACAAAGTGTACTTCCCACACTTGTAGGGCCAGACCCACGAATTAAGTTAGGGAGTGTTTGCAATTGCTTCAACTTTAAAAAAGTGATTTTTTAAAGTGATTTTGGGAAAAGTGATTAATAGTAAAAGTCGGTAGTGTTTGAGAAAAAAGTGATTCTGAAAAAGTAAAAGTTGGTAGTATTTGGTAAAATAAGTACTTTTTGTGTAATAGAAAAAGTGAGAAGCAGTTTAAAGCACCCTTCTACCTGCTTCCAGCTTTTAGCTTTTAAGTGATTAATTTAAGCAGAAGCTGTCATTTGAAAACACTCTTTTCAACTTTTTTTAAGCCAAAAGCTGAAAAACGCTTTTTTTAAGCAAACCCAAACACTCCTTTAGTCCTTTTGTTGATTCTCTTTTTCCACTTATCAGATTCCATCAATTTTTTTTACCAAACACATAACTTTTAATTTTGCGTGCTAAATTATGTAATATTACCTTCGTCCCTATTTAAAGTTCTCACCTCTTTTGGATGTCTCTTAATAAAATTATCTTTTCTTATTTGGTAAACAAACTGGTGCAAAATAGTGTCAACAAGTCAAATATTGTCAAACAATGTCAAAACAATGCCAAAGAATGTCGTTTTCTTAATATGAGTGCAAGTTAAAGTGAGAACTTTAAACAGAGACCGAGGGAGTAATAATAAAGAGTAAGGTTAGATGTACTTTTCAGGTTGAATTGGCATAAGTTACTATAGAGAATCATTTTGGCTATTTTTCATATAATGTTTTCTTAAATTTATTAATAAAATATATTTTTAATCTCCCCCCATAAACCAACAAAATTATCCAATTCAGATACTTTGTAAATTTAAGCAATCAACCGATTTCGATATTACCAAACAAACTCTTAATCTTAGGGGTCTTAACTAAATTAAAAACGTGTTATCAATTCAGAATTGTTTTTAAGATATCTACTTTTTAAACTGAAACCATAATTACTAGGGAGTAGATAAAAGAAAAACTGAATGTAAATAGAGTAATGTTAAAGTATTTGTCCCACACTGAAAAGTTATAAAACAATAACACACTATAAAAGGCTTTGGCTTACTCCTCCTAACAGGTTGACCTTTTAGGATGGAATCTCGGGTCTTAACATATATAGTGTTTTATTGTTTTATTGTTTTATAGCTTTCCGGTGTGGGACAAATATTTTAGCACGCCCCCTCAACCCAAACCGGTCTGAACAATATCGGGTGTTATAAATGGACTAAACAGACCATTAACAAGCTACCCTTAATCATGTGTGCTAAACAAGCAAACAAACCACAATCGGACTTGGCTCCGATGCCATATTAAGACCCGGGGTTCCGTCCTAAAAGGTTAATCTAATAGGAAGAGTAGTCCAAAGTCTTATATAGTGTTTTATGTTTTATAGCTTTCCGGTGTGGGCCAAATACTTTAACAAGTAAATTATTCCAGATGAGGAGAGATGTTCTGGACAGGAAGACCGGCGTGATCGGAATTGTCGTCTGGCAGCCTCCATCAAAGGTTCTTTTGGTAGATTTTTTTGATGAAATTTTGTAAGCATGTTCCTCATGAAGTGTGTATTATGTCCATAAAGATGCATGTTAATCTTACATTACTGATGATAGTATCACGATATTGATTTAACCCAATACGATAGGAACTGTTGATTTGCACAATTGATTATCGCGCTCGGTTGAAAAGTCAGTTGCGTGAAGCTTCCGTGCTTTGGATTATGACTGAACGCCTCTAAATAAGAATCCAGGCTAGACCGATACTTGCACTTGTTGTCCATTTGTCAACTCGCAGTGGGGGGCCAAGCCCCTAAGGGCATGTGTCAATGGCCAAGCCACCATGGCGGAAGAGTCGTGGTGGCCGCCTTGAAATACAATTCTGGCGAGTAGAATTCTTTGCAGACGACTTAAATATGCGAGGTATTGTAAGTGGTAGAATGACCTTGCTGCCACGATCCTTTGAGATTAAGCCCTTTGTTGCTTCAATTCGTAAAAAAAATTACAACTTAAAGTTCAATTGGGAAGTTGGTTTTATAGATTATTCAAACACAGTGCGCCAAACTATATATAAAAAACGTAGTGTGTATTATGTCCATAAAGCACCTCAAATGGAGATGGCCAGAAGACGGATCCTGTCAAGCCGGCTTGACAAGATCATCTAAAATTGTGTTTGCGTTCCATCTAACAAATGAAATCCTCAATCACAACCTTTAAGTCAAAGTTTCCGTAATTTCTCTTTCAATATAAACAATAAGGTTGTCTGTAAGATACTCGTCCTCCATTTATTGTGAATCTTTATTTTTATAATTTTTACTGTTGAAAAGCTCTTTTTGTCGTTGTTGTGGAAATTTGCAGATTCAAAGAGAGTCAAAAAAAGTGAAAATTGGTATCGCCTTTTAATAAGGTGGAATAAAATGGAAATATGTGATTAAAAAGATAAATGAATATTAATCACACAAAAAATTTAATAATAAAAGAAAATAGAACAATTTTTAGGGATATTCCAAAATGATAAGAGTGATTTTTTTGGGAAATAG